CTCGGAGGCATGAAGCCAGGCTGGGGAAGAGGGCAAGGGAGAGGGACAGGGAGGGCTGCAGGGCCCCAGATCCATCCCTCCTCCCCCACGGCTGCAGGTAAAGCCAGTGGATCTGCCCGCATGCTCCTTCAAAGCCACCTGCCTACCCTCTTGGCTCCCGAGGAGTCTCTAGGGCAGTTGGCCACAGGAGCTGCCAGCCCAGGGCTCTCTGCCCCCCTCTCCTGCCGTGCCACCCCCACTGCCCCAGTGGGGGCAGCAAACGCACTAGGAAGAGACAGGCCAAAAAGGAGGTGGGAGAGAAGAGAGACGGGCTGAGCAGGGGCAGGGTGCAAGCAGCACCTAACTGGGGATGGCTACAAGCCCCGCAGGGGGAAATCGGAGCTGGGAGACCCCTGCTCAGCTATTGTATTCAGTGGTCACTCCCTGGTGTATTTCCTGAGAGGAGCCAGTACATCCAGCCATGCAGGAGTTCTCCTGCCCCTCACTCCTAGGGGTTCGGTGAGGGACCAAGGAGTGCACACGGTGCGGGATCTTAAAGCCAACAAGTGAGATACATTTTACTAAAGCTGGCCAAGGCCCCAACCCCTCCTGCCCCACACGCCAGTCCTGACACAGCGCAGGGAGGGTTTGCAGTGCTTAGAGCATATCGCTTTCTTGAATGAAGTGTGCATGGGCTAAGGCCTTGTTCCGCTTCCTCCTCCACAGCTGGAGAGGGACAAAAATACGTTCTAGGCTGCTGGCAAAGGAGTTCCTTTTCACATTTGCTAACAGCCACACTTGGGAAAACAGGAAGCTGGTATCTGATTCAAGGGCTGAGACATTCCATTCCCAAGATCTGTCCAGCCTGGGGAACTCCGCTTTGGCGTGGGGAATCTTCACGGCCCAGCAGTGGTGTAGCACAAAGCACAATATGGGTATTTCAGCCTCACGCAAGTGCTAGAATTTTTCCCTAAATAACCAATCTTCGCCGGTGTTCTTGGGACCACAAGTTCCAACCCAGTGTTGTCACTACATGAACAAGACGCAGCAACCAAGTAAACAACCTGAACAGAAGGCCCAATAAGGTCAGTAGTTTCCTTCCCTACTGTGTATTCTGCTCATTAATCAGTGCAACTAACAGAGTTACTCATTTATAATAGATGACACTAAACCAGAGTTCTCATTAAGCCGTAACGTACAACTGTTCTCGGGGAAAAAATAATAAAAAGCAGCCAACTTTACACCAGTGGCTGTGAAGCAGAGTGCTCTACAAAGCCGGGGGAGGGCAGGGGGCACAGTCCCCAGCATCTGAGCTCCAGGATTAATCAGAATATGGGGTGACTTCAAACCCAAGCAAGGGTGTTCTCTCTGGCCGAGAGGGTTCCTAGGGCTAGGCACAGCAGTTGTGTTTTGGCAGGTACACACATAGTGCCGAAAGCTCTAGGAGACTGAAAGCCAAAGCAGCGCTGCCTGCTGACAATCATTCCCACTCAGCTGGCTACAAGGGGCCTGGCAAGCAAAATGAGCAGCACTGGGCCTGAATCTCAGCTTGGGAGTCCAACCAAACGCCCAGATCCGGACACTCCTCAACTTGGGGGGTTGAAATCCAGATCAAAACCAACCCAGGTTTTTTTTCCTTTTAAGGGGGAGAACAAGGTTTTAAATATCACAGAAGAAGACTGCAGCTGCTAACTGGCCTTCAGGCTTGCCATTTGGGACCATTTAAGCCGTGAGTTCAGTGGCATCAGTACACAGCAGTTCAATATGCAGATCTAAGCCTGTACCACAGAATTACATGAGCAGAACTCAGCCTTAAATGGCTTCTGTCCCAAAGAGTCCCTTTATTCCTTGCCATAGTGCAATATTGCAGGGAATAGCACAGACTTATCCCACTAGAGCAGACCGACCCCTAAGGGACAGGGTACAGTCACTTTTTTTTAAAAAGAATGGTTTCAAGTGCTCGACTGGGGACACACACATTTCCAGAGGGGCTGGTCACCCGTCATCCTTGGCTTCACTTGGAACTGAAAACCAAGGCACTTAATCTTAGCAGCCATGAGCCCTTTTTGAAAGCGCTGTCACTGGGAAATGCACCATTGGGACAATTCTCATCACCTCTGCCCAAGACTTGCCAGGTTAAACAGAACACAGTCATCTCAGAACTGACTGAGGAACACCCAACAGGGGGCAGAAACATCAACTAAAACAAACCTAAAAATCAGGCCAAACTTTAAGGGTAAAAATATATACATTTGGGAAAGTGATTCAACCCTGAACAGAGGGTGATTTAAAGTGACAGTATTTTTTTTAATAGTCAGAAGCCAATCATGTGCACTCTCAGAAACTGTACCTCCCCCATCTTAACGCACACGTATGTCTGCACACATAACAGTTAGCAGTCACTTAACATGTTGTGCCTCTGTCAGGGATGCTGTCGGCTCCCATTATTAATGCAAGTGGTCTATTTCAGTGGATGGAATTTATCATCAGCAGCAGTAGCTTCAGAAGAGCAATGTTTACAAACCAGGCAGGGTAACTTTTAGCACATACAGGGTGCACACGGCTTTCCCTTGGCACTGCAAAAGGCTCCTCCAGGCACAGACCGGTCTGTAATTGTTTGTAAACATCAGGCACACCCAAGGCTCTGAGAGCAACCACCACCCTAACTCCATGCAACGGACCTTTGCCAAAGGTACTTCCTCCTTCGGGATCTTGACCCTGCTTGCTCTCTTTCCTGTAGCTTCATTGTACACGCAGTTCCAGTCACTTGTGTGTTTTGTTCTATTGCATCAAGGCAAGTTGTTGCTTTTCTTCATTTCTGAGTGCGTTTATTATTTATTCATTAAAAGGAAAAGAAAAGGGAAAGCAACAGAAGCAGATTCCTAACAAGTTATGGGCAGCAGTGACAGGCACAGCAAACAGGAAATATGGCAGTGGTGAGCAGCCTATCCTCAAATTTGTCTGTCATCATCTACATCAGGTGACATTCTCGCCTCCCCGTTCGTGAGGAGGACATCAGTGCTATCTATAGACAGGGGTACTTGGGTTATTTTAAAGTAGCGAGAAGGAAGGGGGTGTTTAATATTATTCATAGGATAAAGGAGCTGCTCAAACCTGTGCCCAACACGTCTCAGTCCCCAATACAAGCAATTGGCACTGCACTCCAAATTCCCAGCATGCTGCCCACCACTGACCTCGCTGCTCATGGGTAAAAACAGCACACTGGCTAGAAACACACAGCAACTGTGCCTTGCAGAGCTGTAGTGGGTACAGGCTACCAGTCTGTCTAAGCTGTGGCAGCTCCTTGGATGGGGACGTTCTAGTTTGAATCATTGTCGAACATTGTCAATCAAGGATTCAGAATTCATTTTCCATGGGGCGGAGGCATCACACCCACGACCACAGGGAACAGGCAGTTCTTAACCCATCAACACACTCAGACTTGAGAGAACTGTGAGAAACCAAGACATGTATCCCAAATCCCCTCACCGCATTTGCCAGAGCTGCCATTAAGCACCTGAACCACTGCAGCTGCATGCATAAATATATGTATTATAGTCATAAACTACACGGGTGATGCACATTGTGCTTCCAAAAGCTATGAGTAAGGCTTGAAAACTAGGAATTAAAATAGTGCTAACTCAGACACATTTGAATATCTGACAAGGTAGACATTCAACCATAATATGCTACATTTCAAAGCCAGTGATCACGTCAGTAAAAGCAGAAAGTCAATAAAAAACAATAGCAAAACATTATTTCAAATACCAGCCACTCTCTCAGACCTCACCGCTCAAAACTGAGAAATTAGCATTATTACTGTCCTTATGTGTGCACTTCCCTAGCTCTGCCTTTGATTTCGGAGGAAAGCTGTCTAAATAACAAGAAACCCATTATCTCTTAACTCCCATTTAACTAAACTTTATGGCCACTAAAGCTGTATAGCTCTGTTAGCAACAAGATCAGACTGGAGCATGCCCACAGCATTTGCACCCTGCTGACCAGAAGGGAAGCTTGAAACTGAAACATGCTTATTGAAAATTTAGTCTCTAGACTTAAAGAGGGAAAGGCCACCATCCAGCCTGCAAAGTCAGACTGGAGAAAGACTATTATTAATTATTATGTATTAATACAGGACCAGGAGCATGTACCAGGCTGGGGGGTAGGTAGCGGAGCCCAGCAAGTGACAAGTTCAGAAAAGCTACTAGTAAATAAATCGATGTTTGAACTGTAACTGTTCAGAGTCAGCAGGGAGACCTGGAAAGGAAAAGGAGGGGGGGGGGGTTCTTCCTTCAGCTGATATTAGCCGGAGTTAAGGATGGACTCAAGGCACCTAACTCCCTGCTTTGGAAGGGAACAAGCTGCGAAGCACTGGCAGTACTAACTAATCTATCTGCCCCACTAGGGCAGACACACTTGGCAGTTAGAAAAGCCTTGCTTTGTAGGAAACAAGAGGGGGGAAGCGCGGGACTCTGACCTGCTAATTCTGCCCATGCTGGGGGAGCCGTGCCCTGCACGGTGGATTTGCTCTCCCCCAGCCACCTTTCAACGTCAGGACCAGGCCAGGGCTGGTAGTAGGAAGCGCACTCCTACCCCAAACTGCAAGGACGCTGCCCTGCCAGGAACAGGGATCGGGTTTCGCATCAACTCCTTCACAACAAGCTGCTGTTTGCGCCAGTTGCTCGCCCTCTGCCAAACAAACAAGCCAGGCCCTGGGCTAAGAGCTCCCCTGGGAAGCCAGTTTGGGGGGGGGGGTGCTTCACACACGCCCCTATTCCAACACCAAACGACCTCCTTCCCCTTGGAGACAAACACCATTAACCCCTTCCCACTGGCGGCGCGCAGCGTGCACCAAGTTCCACCCCAGCCCGCCCAGCGCCCATAGAGCAGTAGGGACACGGACCTGCCTGGCCAGCCCCTTGCCCGCGCCAGGCTTCGCCGCCCCACCCCAGGGCAGCCCGGCAGCCCATCCCCCAGCGCGCCGTGCCCGGGCGGGCGGGCTGGCTCCGGCTCCTACCTACCAGCGGGTTCCGGCAGCCGGCTCGCCGCTGCCCGCTCATCTTGGAGGCGCAGAAGACACAGCGCCGGCCGGGGAGCGAGCGGCGACGAGCGGGGAGGCAGGGCAGAGCCGCGCCGCCTCCCGCCCCGCCTCCGCTCCCCGCAGGTAAGGGCACACGGAGCCGCCCCGACTGCAAGCCGGCGGGAGGTTCCCGGCCAAGGAAGCCTGTTCCTGCCGGGTCTGAGCTGCCCCCGACTCCAGCCCGGCGCCCCGGAGCCAGGTCTCCCCATGCCCAACAGCCTTCCTCAGGGCGGAGAGCGGCGCCCGGCCCGCGGCAAATGACAGAGCCCAGCCCTACGCTGCTACCTGCCTTGGGCACGGAGACAGCCGGTCCCTGTCGCTCCCAGCGTCGGGAGCTGGGGTCTCCAAGCTTCGGCAAGCTGAGCCCGGCTTCACGCTAGCGAAGCCAGTCTGACACTCCCTTCCATCCATGTGCTGTGAAAGGCCTAGAGCTGGGATTCACCCTCGCCGGCTCTTCCAGCGCCCCCACTTTAGCAGAGGCTGGTGTAGTTCTTCTGTAATCTCCTGCCTCACCTTTCCCACAGCTTTGGAGAGCAGCCCTAGCCTTAACTAAGCTGACATTTAATATAGCATCAATAGCAACTGAGTATAGTGCCCATGGAAAGTAGGAGGGGTAGGTCACACCTCAGAGCTATTGTTTCAGGCTCTCTGCAAACTCGGGAAGATGTTGCTGCATCATTTACAGCAAGCCATTTACAACTATAGCAGCCAGAGACTGACTTTAAAAAAAAAAGTGAAGTCTGAGATGGAGGAGAATAAGGAGAGTGCTGCCTCTACTCTGGGCAGGCTCACATACACCCCCACCCCAATCCTTCACACTTATGTTTGACAGTGCTCATATAGTATATGACAACAATTCAGTAATTTGGAATTTGAGCCCTTCCAAACCACTGCAATTATTGATGGTTTTGCTCCATGAGTTTGGGTTTCATAGATGGAGCAGGAGGGCCAATTCAGCATGCTGATCCACCCAGATAAACCCTTGAGCCCATGCAGAGTCCCACCAGCCAGGATCTTCCTCTGTGGATTAGTTTACAGAATCAGGGCTAAAGTTTCTAGCAACAGCATGTATTGAACCCTGCAGGACAGAAAGGAATGTGAGTGGGCCACTAAGGAATATTTACTTTCTTGTGAACAGGGAAGAAAGATTACAAAGGTAGTCACATACAGGTGTCAGGCCAAGGCCTTATATGAGATCCATGGAGTGTTTTATTATTCAGTATCACAGTGGAGGAGACAGTAAATTGAGATTCAGTTTCTTTGCAGAAACACTTTTAATGTGTTTGCTTTTCCATTGGTAGATACAGCTGAGAAATAATGAGATTTTTTTCTTCTAGTTCAGAAAAGTGTGGAAGGGTGTTTGGTACATTTAATGCACTAAAGACACTTTGATAAGTTTGAATTGTTTTTATATTTATATGTATTTATAAAGTGCACCTATATACAGTAGTAACAGTAAAAAGAAAGCAAGAAAAGGGGAAGTTAATCCCAGAAACATAATTATTCTCCCATAATATAGGTACACTCTGAATAGGTTATTTATACCTGCCCAGCAAGTTAAAGTTATCTGTCTCTTTAAGAATAAAGATGCAAAGAAATACCTCCAGGCTATTGCTTCCTTGTTTATTTATTTCAGCAGGTCACAACCCCAAGTGGGATCACTCCATCAGTGGATTGGGTCTGGACAATCCTGAATGTGTGGAGGATGCCATTTTACAATCTTGCATGTCACAGAGTGCACCACTTACCAACAGATTGGCACCTCCTCCTGGTACTCCGGGGATTAGCTCAAGGCCAAAACCCTGCCCCATCTGCGGTTTGCACACTGTTACACCATCTGCCCTGCAGCTCCTCCTGCAGCCTCAGGAACTGCAGCATCCAACTCATGACTCAGCCCTCCAGCCATATCACTGTCTGTGTTCCCCCTCAGCAGTCCTCTTACTCACTGCCTTGGTGCTACTTGCCCAGTGGCTGGTAGGGGCACCCAGGCCTGCCCTCTACTCTGGATTCCAGCGCAGGGACCCTCACCTCAGCAGTCTGGGCCTTCTTTCTCTGGCCTCATTGCTCTACCCCTGGGCTGCTACTGCTTCCCCTTTTCTTCCTGGGCCTACCAGTTCCCCAAAGCCTCCTCCCACTTCCCAGGGAGTGACTGCAGTCCCTACTCTCTCCTCACTTTCAGAGCATCTGCCTTTTCCCAGCCACCCCTTCTCCTTTCAGCTCCTGGGTTTTATAAGCCCTGCCTATTCCTGCCCAGCTGAGCCTCTTTAATCAGCTGTCTAAAGGGCTAATTGGCCCATCTGGCCTGCATTCAACCCTGCACCCCATCCCATTGCACGCATGGTGTGTGCAAGGTCACAGTGCAGGGAAGATGCCATTTTAAAATGGCGCCTTCCAGTCTGTCAGGGTCACGGGAAACAATACCGCTGAAAATGGGGTCATGCAGGGAAAAAGGTTGGGAACCACTGGGTGACTTGTTTTTTTAAATGGGAGGAAGGGATTGTTGTAGGAAGGAGACTTCAAATGTGGAGACCTGGGTTCTGGTCCCAGCTTTGCTCTTAGCTCACTGTGGCTATGTCAAAAGAGGTAGAGTTTTTAACATGTGTTAGTTACCCTGGTGTAAAATCCATGGTGTGACAAGGCACCTGCAGCATTTCCAGTGAGGTAGCTGGATGATATCAGCACTACATCCCTGCCCATAGTTGACCTCACTTAATTTATCTTATGTCTCCACTAGGATTTCACAGCACGATCACTAACGCACGTCAGTCATCTTGCAGCAAAACCACACCTTTTTTGGCAGTGCAGACAAAGCATGGGTCACTAACTGAGAACTGCTCTGGGCCTGAGTCTTATGCGAAGTGGGGGTGAAGCACAGCCAGCTCGGAATGATAGGGCCAGATTCTCATCTTGTTTACACTGGTGCAAATCGCAAGTCACAGTGTGGAATTCAGTTGTATTGCTCTGGAATTCCAGTGCAAGTGGGATGAGAATCAGGTGTAAATGATCACACAAGGTGCCAGGCAGTGGACAGGCCGGCTGTGTCTTTGTTTGCCCATCTCAGCCTGAGAGTGTGAATGTGCGGCAAGGTTTGGGGCACTGGGGAGGCAGAAGACAGGAGGATGCGAGACAAAGCATGGTCTGAACATTAACACAAAGCAATGGGGGGAGAAAAGTCCTTGTGATCATGGCACTAGCACAGCAGGTGTCCAGCCCAGTGCCATGGGCCTGGGTATAGGTCTGGCACAAAAGTCAGGCCATGTTGACAAATAATGAATACAAGGAAATTACAAAAATGGCCACACCCTCTGAGATGGACCCTGCAGGTTTCTAAGCAAGGCTTAGCTGAAAGAGAGCTTCCTTTTCTGCCATGTTCAGAATCACTGCATCTAAGAGGAGTCTGGTATCCTGGCCTGGTCACAAATTCAGAAAGCCAGAGCCCCACGTCTCTCCTCCTCTTGTGAGGGAACCATTACAAGACACCACTCTTTGTAAAGCAAAGGGTGCTGACATGAAATAGAGCCCTGGCAGCCGGTAGCGTGTGTAGCAGCCAGGCACACAGTATCCTGGTCTCCCAGCTAAGCTCCAGCACACATACCGCACCTCAGTCATTGAGGAAGGTAAACAAGCTGACAGGTACTCAGCACGGAGGAGGGGAGCTGGAGTAGCAACTCAGGCTTGAGCGTGATGTGGAGGAAAATGAGTGTCAGTGGTTCTCACTCCTCTCCCTATCTGTGTGCATCTTTCAGAAATCTGCCGACTGCTGGCAACCACACAATTACCAATCCAGCGTCGGTGACAGATGTGCACAGTTGTGCCTCTGCCCCTGCTGGGAGCCATCTGCCAACCGTGTCAGCTATTCTAATGCCGATGGGTTGCGATCCATTAGGCTGGAACTACACAGCACAGTTAAGATCAATATGATTTTTTTGCATCCTCCCGGCTTTCCTTTGATGTCCTCCCTTTCTAAAGTGGGAGGATTTGTGCTGCCCCAGTTTCTGTTAATTTCTCCTTGGTCTTTCATTAAGCACTTCCTGGACCTAAAAATGCAGTTGGTGGATTTCTCTTTAGATGCCAGCTTGCTCACCTGACAGATTTTACTAAGATCTTGTGACTCCGAATTAAAAGAGGCATTTTCAGTTCACAAGCAATTTTCCTAATAGATTGACAAGTAGAGAGGACCCTGTCATCAAAACGCATCCTCTGTCTAAAAAGTTCTTCTAAGCTTAATTCTTTCCAGCATTTGGGGTTGGAAATGCCATAGGTGATGTTTGGCAAATGTTTACAAATAGCTGTTTGTTCACTTTTTTTAATACAGAAAAGCAGTTGGCAAAATAAGGGGTGAATTGTGCAATACAGCACTAAACCCAGCACAGCTCTTTGCACTAACATGGTAACTATTTTTAAATGAATCACATGCATTTTGAAACCCTACAGGCCTGATTTGCAGAGTCGAGGGAATCCTGGATCACCCACTGAAGTACTTTGGGAGTTGTGAGTGCTCAGCACCAGCACAAATGATATTTTACACAAGACTCCTGGGAGCTGGGAGGTAAGTGTTATCATCCACACTGTACAGATGGGGACCTGGGACAGATAAGGGACACACCTTGCTCAAGGTCACCTAGTGAATCAACAACACAGATTAGAACACAGGACTTCCTGACTCCAGAGCTTGTTCTTATTCCTCTATATACAGCATGGTCAGGATCATCCACTTTGCTTAAATCGTGAACGTCTGTGTCTGTTTCTTTCCCAGCTGCCAGTGTTTTATTATTTTCCAAGTGTTTTATTCCCGAAGATAGTGCTAGGGGGTCATGGACACACCTAGATAGATTCCCATTAAGGATTCTCTAATTTTCCAGCACTGGGCAATTACTCCAGTTTGGATGACTCAGCTTTTCCAGGTTTCCTTAGCACCTCCTTCCTCTTCATTTTTAAACCAAAGGCATGCATTTTTTTACCCATCAAATGCACATGGAACAGCAGCTTCTAGTTCACAAATGGAGTGGGTACTTACACTGATCCTTGGAA